ATGAGTTTTTGTTTAAATTAAACTTCTACTCTCTTGTTTGCTGTTTGCTACACAAAATGCATCAAATACCCAGAGTTGTGTCCGTGTGTGTGTCTGTGTGAGACCCTGAATTGTGTTTACCGCAAAGACTTGGACCTCCTTTCAGTGTGATTTAGAACGAGCTTTGAATGTAAGGTGACCTGGATGCCAATGATGTCAGCCCCTCCATTCATGAAACACATGAATAATTGAGGTAGCCCAGCCTCGATGCACCGGCTCCGAGTTGAGGTGGAATGCAAAGTGAAAGCCATCTCTTCTCTCATTTGCTCTCTCCGCGCCTCTCACCGTCTCTCCCTCCCTCTGTTTTTCTCCCTTACCTCGTTTTGCATGTTCTCCCTCAGTCTCTGTCTGTCTGCTGTCGCGTGCGGCCGTGAATTCTTCAGAGCAGCAGCAGAAATCGCGAGATACGGGATCGGCTGGGCTCTGGGGGAAGAAGCAGTGAACAGGCAGACGATCCAGCAGCTGGAGGACCAAAGGAGGAAGAGATGGAAAAGGAAAACGATAGCTCATTACGGCAGAAATAGACAAAGAAGAGTAAATGAAATCAAAAGGAAGCAACAGAGTGTGAAATCCAGCCTCAGAGTCCATCTGTTGGGATCTCTTCCTCTGATGTGCCTGCTTCCTTGTGCTTTTCCTCTCATCCTTCTGGCATGCTCCGGAACTCGCCCATCATTCAATTTCGCTCTCCCCTCCATGCTCTACCCCCCCATCTCCTTTTCTTCCTCCTGTGCATCATCCGATGCTCCGGCTGTATGAATGAAGCCGTGTGAAAGGAGCTTGTTGCTGCTGAGCGACTCTCTACATGGCTACAAGCAGGTTAGTGCTGCCTGTTTACCTGTCTGCATTCAGTCTCAGTTAAGCAGTGGCCGCTCGTGCATTGGTTAGCTTCCCTGTCTGGAAAGATCAGCATGTACTATTTAGGAAGTGAGTTCAGGGAGAGGTAGGTGGGGGGTAGCTGCATCGCAGACCACCAGTGTCTCTTCTTTGGCAGGTGGTGTTAAGGGCGATGTAAGCTGGTTATTAGGAGATCAGAGCTGGCCAGGGAAGATCAGTGGCCCTAAGCCTGCTGGAGAAAATCTCCCCGCCTTGCCTTTTCCAGCTCCTCTCTTTCTCTCTCCATTATCTATCCGGCTACCTTTCTTCTCTTTTACACCTCGTGAGAAAACACAGCCGCGGGGTCCGCGGGATGATCCGCTGGGTGAACAGCTCATTACAGGAAGTTGCCTACGAGGACATGGTCGCATTCGAGTGTGTGACGGCGGCTAACCAGGGCTGCTACGGCGAGGTTCTCAGCGACTGTGTTTTTCACCAAGGGTATGACGTTCCCTCACGTGCTTGTTAGAGGCTGCCTGAATGTGAGGAGAATGAATGGGTGGAGTGGGATGGGCTTGGTTATATAATTTGATGTGTTCTTGCATTTATTTTAAATGAAGAGGCAATTCGGTAATAATCCAGACGATGTTGCTAATTTTATCCACTTACTGAGACAGAGTGAGGCGTGATGCATTTCTGCAATATGTGGGCGTATGTCCTCTGCTTCCATGTTGATGTCTGCCCCCGTGCTGCACGATGCATCTCTGTGTGAGCATGCTCATGGCGCACCTCGTGGTTCTTTTCAAACTGGTGCAGAGCTGAACGACAAGTGCCAGATGGGTATTTTCCAGGATCAGCAAAACTGTGAAAACAACTGGGGGCCCTCGGAAAGGCCCGGAACTCTGTTCCATTGTGAAGCCGAACGTTTAGACAGACTGAGCCGGCAGGATTTAGGGCTTTACAGCCTATTTAATGAAAAGACTGTTACAAAGTGGAACGTTGTTTTTCCCCTTTTTTTTTTTTTTTTTT